ACGTGGGAGGAACATGACAGTGAATGCGGTGATGATGCTGCTGATGATGATGACGCTGATGATGACAATGATAGTAATGCGTTTGACAGTAAATATCATGATCCTGCTGGTTGTGATGATGTTGTTGCTGCTAGTGGTGTTGACGATGATGGTGGTGATGATGATGCTGATGATGAACACGAGGCTGGTGATACTTGTGATGGTACCAATTATGATGCCGATTCGGATATTTATTATCATGCCGATGCGGAGGCCGAATAATATGCTGATGATGGTGGAAGTGGTGGTGATGCTGATTATAATGATGCCCATTCGGATGAGGATGATGACGAGGACGATGAGGATGATGCTGATGATGAGTATGCCGATGATGTCGATGATGACGATGATGACAATGATGACAATGATGACGATGGCGATGGCGTTGACGATGACGATGGCGAAGTGGATGATGCTTATGATGATGACTTATGATGCTGATGCTGATGACGATGACGCTAATGATGATGACAATGATGGTCATGCTGATGATGACGATCATGATGATGATGATGATGATGATGACGATGCTGATGCTGATGATGATCATGCTGACGCTGATGGTGATGGTGATGGTGGTTATGATGATTCTGGTGATGGTGGTGGTGATGGTGATGATGCCATGCCACTGATGACTGGGATGGGTATGATGGTGATGATGAGGATTATGATGATGCTGATGACGATGCTGATGCTGATGCTGGTGATGACGATGGTGACTATCTGGTTGCTGATGGTGATGCTGATGATGATGATGATGATGACGATACTGATTATGAACATGATGATAATGCTGCTGCTGCTGATGATGATGCTGATGATGATGATGATGATGATGATCATGATGATGATGCTGCTGCTGTTGATGATGAAGATGATGATGATGGTGATGACGGTGATGATGGTTGGTGTGATGGAAATGATGGTGGTGGTGATGGTGGTAATGTTGATGGTGTTGTGGATGGTGGCAGTGATGACGAGGAGTAACAGAAGGATGAGGAGGGCAAGACTAAGGAGGCGGAGGGACGAACTGCAGAAGGGAGGAGAAAACGGGGATAACCGGGAGGAGGAGAACGACATGAATTTCTCGTCAATTCGGGGAGGGGCGTGATCGAGCTTCCTCGTCTCCCCCGTCACGCCTCCTGAGATTGTCCTTCCCCTCGTCCTCCCGCCCTACCCGTCTTCGCCTCCTCCTGCCCGTCCCCTGCGGAACCGGGCCGGGGGGAGCCTCGGAGGGCGAGACTGGGGCCGACTTCTTAAGGCGCGGTGCACTTTCTGCGCCGCGCGCAATGTGCCGCCAACCTGTGAGCTGATCCGCGAAGCCAATGGGCTTTCGCGAGTGTCCAATCACGCATCTCGCCGTCGCAGATGATCGACGGCCGTCCGCGGCATCGTCGGACGCGGTCCTCGGCGGAGTCCTCTTCTTCCGCCGCGCCTCTCCTCGGACGGGGCCAGGGCGAGGAAAAATCCACTCCAGAGCGTTCCCGTTCGCTCTCAGAGCGGTTCGGGACGCTCGGAGAAGGCCGCGGCGCCCGAGACATCCTCCAGAGCCGCCGGATCCCAGAGATTCCGGATTTAATTACCCTCTTTCGATGTTGTCCTCGTCCTGGCTTCGTCTTACCTCCTCCCTTCCCTCAAGGGCGCCCTCGAGGGCGCGGAGTTATTCGAGCTTCGTGGTGCGGCTCCGATTCCTCCTTATCCTCCTCTTCTCCCCTTGGGGTCGGCGCGAGAGCGCGATGTGATTCGCGCTTCGCGCAGCACGAAGTTAGGTGCCCTTGCTCCCGTCTCTCCTCCTCACTCCTGCGCTCCTCCAGACATCCGACTGCTCCAACGGTTTCGATGCGTGGGCCCTGGAAGCCTGGAACACTTCCCGAGGGCCAGTTTTGCCCCACGGGCAGTTTTTTTACGCTCCCGAGGCCCAGCGAGGGCCCCCAGAGGCCGAAAACGCGGCCCAAAACCGCCCGCTCCAATGTTTGTTTGGAGAGTCGGCTCTTTTGGGGGGGGCCCCCCGCCCCGAGCCCTGCCGTCGACTTCGGCGTCGAGGTCGTAGACGACGCGCCGGGGCTGCTCTGCGGGCGGCGTCCCCCCTCCCCCCCGCGTCTCCAGGCCTCGTCTGCCGCTCTGGCGGCAGGCTCCCGCTGCCCCCCATCGGGCTCCTCGTCCTCTGCCTCGTCCCTCGCCCACCCCCTCGTCGGTCCTCCCGCAGCGCTCCTTGCCTCTTGTGCCTGCCAGTCTCCTCCTCCCCCTCCTCCTCCTTCTCCTCCCCCTCCTCCTCCCCCTCCTCCTCCCTCTCTCTCCTCCCTCCTCCTCTCCTCCTCCTCCTCCTCCTCCTCCTCCTCCTCCCCCTCCTTCTCCTCCTCCTCCTCCTCCTCCTCCTCCTCCCCTCCTCCTCCTCCTCCTCCTCCTCCTCTCCTCCTCCTCCTCCTCCTCCTCCTCCTCCTCCTCCTCCTCCTCCTCCTCCTCCCCCTCCTTTGGAGCGTCGGATCGTTGGGCCCCTTGCGTGGTGCAGGTGAGCGGCGGAGCGTGCCGGGTCGTCTGCTGCGCTGGCCCCGTGCCCCCCGCTCCCTGCCGCGGAGGACCCCCCGGCGGCGTCTCTGGCGCCGCCCCTGGCACGCTCCGCGCGCCAGAGAGGGTGGTCCAGCTGGGGGGCCACATGCGAACCCTACCCCTACCTTCCACGATTTCTGAGGGGGATGGTGGGGTCCACTTCGACCAGAGCGTTCCGGAACGGTCTGAGAAGGTCGCGGCGCCCGAGACATCCCTCCAGAGCCGCCAGATCCAAGAGAGTCGTTTTGATCCTCGTCCTGGCTTGGTAAGGGGATGGAAGAGGAGGGGCGGAGGAGGAGGAGGTGGAGGAGAAGGAGAAGGAGGAGGAGGAGCAGGAGGAGGAGGATAAGGAGGAGGAAAAGGAGGAGGAGAAGGAGGATGATGAGGAGGAGCAGGAGGAGGAGGAGAGAGAGAGGAGGAGGAGAGAGGAGGGAGGAGGAGGAGGAGGAGGAGGAGGAGGAGGATGATGAGGAGGAGGAGGAGGAGGAGCAGGAGCAGGAACAGGAGGAGGAGGAGGAGGAGGAGGAGGAGGAGCAGGAAGAGCAGGAGGAGCAGGAGGAGCAGGAGGAGGAGGAGGAAAGGGAGGGAGGGGGGTGAAGTTGAGGAGGAGGAGGCGGCGGGGGGAGGAGGATGATGAGGAGGAGGAGGAGCAGGAGGAGGAATAGGAGGAGGAGGAGGTGGAGGAGGAGGTGGAGGAGGAGATGGAGGAGGAGGAGGAGGAGCAGTAGCAGGCAAATGAGGAGGATGATGATGAGGAGGAGGAGGAGGAGGAGAAGTGACAGGGGCGGACGGGCGGAACAATGAGGAATCGAAATGAAGGAGGGAGGGAGGAGGAAAACGAGGAGAAGGATGAGGGAGCGGCGGAGGCAGATGAGGAGGAGCAGGACGAGTTGGATGCGGAGGTGGAGGAGGAGGAGCAGGACGAGGAATGAGGAACGAGGAGCGAAGAGGGAGGGAGAGAGGGATGGAGGTTTCATGCGGAGAAGAGCGATGAAAAGGGGGGAGGATGGACGGGGGAGCATGGTGTGGATGCGGTTGAAAAAGAGGAAGAGGACGAGAAGGAGGATGGGAGAGGACAAGGAGGAGGAGCTGCAGGAGGAGGAAAAGGAACAGGAGGAATATCAGGAGCCGTAGGAGCAGCAAGAGGAGGACGGACGGCCGTTTTATATCCAGCAAACAGAACCGACGCTGCCAGAAATCCTGCGAACGCAAATATGGATTAGGGATCCGTGGATTTGGCGCGCCTGATTGGGCGACGGGGCACGTTGATTATGCACGGGCGTAGAACCCGTCGTTGATCCACGCGTCGTTGATCCATGTTCGCGCTCCCTCGAAGTACCCACTCCCGCCCCCCGCCCCATCCCAACCAGCCTACGCGTACGACTTCTTCAAGACACTGCGGGGCTGTGCCCTCCGGAAACGGTGATGGCAGCATGGACCTACACGGCCAGACGTCGTTCTTGCTTCGAATATGTACACCAACGGCTATGGTACGGCGATGTTGCGGCTATATCTGTGGATACGGATATGTCCGACGAACGACGACGACGAGGTAGCCCCTCGACGAACGACGGGGGGATGCTCGAGGTGCCCCGGCCCAAGGTGCCCCCAGCTTTTCGCTCCATTTCGGAGCCCCTGGTCCCCCTTGGCCTCGCGGAGCGCTGCGGAGGGTGCTCTGGAGGCCGTGGGGGCCTTATTGGACGTCCACGGGGCACCTTGGGCCAGGGGCACTTCTAGCAACATCTGACAACGAGGCAACGCCAGCTCTGTTTTGCCTTGTGTGTCGCCGAAACAAGATCACAAGGACGTGGATCAAGAGCATGGGCCCTTCGCCGACAGCTCAGGGCTCCATGGCGATGCAAAAAGACAGGGCCACTCCAGGGTGGAGAGCCAAACACAAAGAACACAAGGTCGTCGTTTCTTTTCATGGTTCGCCGATCGGCGCGGGCCCTCGCCCCCCCCCCTCCCCGCCCCCCCCCCCACTGGAGTAGATCTTGGCTGTTTTGGCGCCTGTTTCGAGCAGATAGAGTCTCCTCCATAGGGCGCACTGCTGCACACAGTCACTTCAAAAGCAGAGGTCCAGAGCCAGGCCCCCCCCCCCTCCCCCCCCCTTCCCGCCCAGTGTCGAGACGCCGAATCTGAAAACGTTCACAAGGGTACTACCCCCCCCAATAGAAGGGTTGCTCTTCCCAGACCCCCGACGTGATTTTTTTCACAACGTCGACCCCCAAATCTCTGGACACTTTCCCAGGGACCGGTTTTTCATCCTGAGTCGATTTCGGACGGTTCCAGGCCCCGGCAGAGGCCCCCGGTGGCCGAACATAGCGAGCAATTCGCCGTCGTGATTTTTCACGACGCGAGAAGGTCTGGGTCTTACGCCTCGTGCCAGCTGACACGACGACGACCACGGCGAGGCAGCCCCGTCCGGGCGGCCCCCCCGGCGCGGGGGCGGGGGCCGCGGGCGGGGCGCGGGGGCCGCTGGCCCTCAAATGGCGGCTCGGGCGCAGGCCCGCGCCGCCGTCTCTCGGCCTTCCTCGGCGTCTGCCTCCTCCCCTGAGGTCATGGTTCGTGAAGGGCAGACGGACTCCTAACCCCGATAGCACGATGACGACGTGGCATCGTTGAGGTCCCCGTCCTCACATTGGGGATCGGATTGCACATTTGGGTAGTGTGACCTGGTACATCTACCATCCAAAAATCCCTATCCCTAATGTTTCTGGCGCTCCTAACTTGGTCCCCTCCCAAAGGGTAAGGGGTCCTGCGTTTCGGTAAATCACTGGCGGTTCATTATTGTTCGAGCCGGGCGTTTCGGCAAGGCCCTCACTGATCGAGCCGGCTCGAGAGGTGGCGCAGAAAGACGGGGTCCAGGGCCCCGGGGCCCGAGGGATTCTTGTTTGAGGCGCCGGATCTCAGGGCCCGCCCTGCCTGCCCCAAGTAAAAGGGCCGTGCGGACCTGCCGTCGGCCGGGGGTCCGAGGCGGCCCAGCACTGGCTCGGGCCAGCAGGGAGGGGCGGGGCGAGGTCCGAGGTGCTGGGCCAGGGAGGCTCTGAGAGGCTTCTGTTTGGGGGGGGAGCCTCCGTGGGCGGCCTAGGCCCGGGGCCCCCGGGCTCGTCGAGAAGGAGCCCGGGGCGCAAAAGCTGCACCAGGTGGGCCGCGGGAGGAGTGCAGGGACGAACTTGGACCGGGTGACGGTTTTCGTCACCCTCCTCGCCGAGTCTCGCGGGTCCCGACCGATTCAGATTCGCGGGCCGCCTCCACATCCACAGACAGTGCTTGACGATTCTGCGTGGTTGACAAGTTCGACGTAGACATTGGGGGTGTGGGTTAAGGGATGTGCCCAGGAGGCTTCAGACCTTGGGGGATTCCTGATCTGATGAGGGTGGAGTTGATATCCATGGCCAATCCACGATTGCAGTTCCACCTGCTTCCAGACCCTGCATTCCTCATCCAATGGTTTCTTATCCAACGCCCTCACAATATTTGATACTATTAGCTGTTTAACGGCTGGCAGCCAGCATCCATGCTGCTGCCAACGAACCCGACAAAGGATCAGTGAAGTGCGCGTCTCTGGATAGCTCAATTCATGTCCTCACCGCCTCCAAGAGGTATTCCATGACATACGCATCTCGCCGTTGCCATGCTTGTTCACACAAACAGCTGATCCTTCAATGGAGGTCCCCAGGCCCGAGAGGATCCAACGACGGCCCAAGAGGCATCCGAGACGGCCCCGAAACGGCCCAAGAGGGCCTCCGTAGCCATCTTGGCTCAAGCCCTCCCGCGGCCCCCCGGCCTCTTCTCGGCGTCACCCCAACATATGAATGTTACCCCAAGGGGCATCGCGCGCACCGAGACATCTTATAGTATATGCGGCGTGGCGGGCGCTTTCCGGCCACAGCTCTCGGGAAACGGATATACTACAAGATGGGTATACTATACGTTCGGGTCTGGGCCTTCGCCTGCTACTGGGGATCAGCCTGTTGGGGGTCAGGAAAAGATAAGCTCAATTTGCTGAGTTTACGTATTCGGGGTCGTATTTTATCAGAAGCAATGTTTTTTTTTTTCTAGGTAGTTCTTCGTGAAATAGTTGGCCCAAGCCAGCATTCTTCTCAGAAAATCAGTTTTCTTTATTTTTTCCCTTCGCTGACTTTGACCCCCAGTAGTCTGACCGCCCAGCATCTGCGCGAGATGAAGGAGGCTCGCGAGAAGCGAGAACAGGGTCTCGCGAACGCGTACGTCAAGAAGCCACTCGGGCGCGATCGGAGGGGAGGCCTCCCTGCGCAGGCAGGGGCCAGTCCTCGGTCGCCAGGATGGACTCGAAGCAGCTGGCTGTCCGTCGCATGCTCAGTCCTTCGGCGTTCGACTCGGCCACGGGCGGGCAACCTGCTGCAACGCGGTGGCAATTGGCGTCGAGTCGGACTCTCCAAAAATCCGCCAACCCTGGGCGAAAGTTGAGAGAATCGCGCACACGGTGGAGCTGGCGATGCTTCTGCTCGCACACGGCCGCAAGCTTGTCCAGAGCTTGACACGTTCCTGATGACCCGCGGGCTCGTGGACATCATCGTGGAGATCCCGGCGAACGGCAGCGACGCTCTGGCGAACGGTCATGCTCTTGCGGCTGCTCCGCCTGCCGCGACGGGCGCGGGCGGTAAGGTTCCTGGTCCAGCTTGTGGGTCGTGGTTGACACGTTCCTGATGACCCGCGGGTTCGTGGACATCATCGTGGAGATCCCGGCGAACGGCAGCGACGCTCTGGCGAGCGGTCATGCTCTTGCGGCTGCTCCGCCTGCCGCGACGGGCGCGGGCGGTCAGGTTCCTGGTCCAGCTCGGGGTCTTGCGACTGCTGGCACAGGGCCTCATTAATTCATTCATGTGGACGTTCGTTACGGTGTGAGCGTTGGTTTGGGAATGTGCCCGGGAGGCTTCAGACCCTGCAGGATTCCTTTTCTGATGAGGCCCGCGATGATGTTCATGGCAGTCCAATCAACGATTGGACTGCCACTACCTCTTCCCAGGCACTGGATTCCTTATCCAATTGTTCCTTAGTCAATGCCCTCACCGTTCCGTAGCCATTTTGGCTCAAGCCGGTCTCAAGCCCCTGGCTGCCATCTGCCTCCGCTCATGGCCGGTCCGGGTGCAGCAGCTGCTTGAGGTGATGGCGACGGGAGGGGGCCCCCGCAGGTCCCCACGCTCACGCGCGGAGCGCAGCGAGGCTGCGCGGCGGGCGCGCTCGGCGGCGGACGCCGCCGTGCGGCGTGCCCGAGCGCGGGTGGAGGAGCTCGTGGAGCGGCTGGCCCTCGCCGAGAGGGCGCTGGAGGCCTTCACGGGCGATGCTGAGCTGGCCGACAGGCTCGCCGCGGTGGTGCCTGCGCTGGACGCGCTGGTCAACGGCGAGCAGCCCTCCTGGCTGGCGCGGCTCAGGAGGAACGTCGCGCTGCACGCCAAGGCGGGCGCCATCAAGGGGCGCATCGCAGGGGCGGCGGCGTGCGAACTCAGGAAGGCGCAGAAGCAGGAGCGCCTCGGGAAGCCCCCCTTCCTCAACCCCTCGGTGACGGAGGAGGTGCACGAGGACAAGGCAGAAGCAGGGGCATGCGGCTCAGCAGGTGCAGAGGATGCTGCACGAGAGAGAGCTGCCCCAGGCAGCGCCCGAGGACGTCCTGGGCGCGAACTGGCTGGCGCCAGGCTGCTGGCAGCCAGGCGGCCCCGAGCTGGAGGCGCGGGCCTTCGGAGAGGGATTCGCAAGTGGCTGGCGGCTGGCGGCGCGGCGCGCGGAGGCCTCGGAGGGCCCCCCTGCGGCTGAGGCCACGCAGGTGGTGACCATCTGGACTTGCTGTCTGGAGGCGGGGACGCGGCCCGAGATGCACGGCATCGGGATCGAGCTGCGGCGCCTCCCCAAGGACAACCAGGCCCCGCCCGAGCCCACGGCGGCGAGCGACCACTCGGTAGAGCACGGCGTCCGCCTGGGCCCCACGCAGCGGCAGCAGGGCATCGACGGCGATGGCGAAGTGCTGCCGCTAGCGGCCGAAGGCGGGAGCGGCGGGCCGCAGCTCGAGGGCCCCCAGGGCGCTGCGGCCGCCCGCGCCCGCGACCTCGCCGAGCTCTACGCCGCCTTCTTGGAGGAGATCGGGCGCTGAGCGGTGGCGGGGCCCTAGAATGCCTGCATGAAACCGCCGTGCTCGCGCGGCGCCTGCACAGATAAAAAAAAATGCCCTCACCGTATAATGATCGCCCTCATCTGCATCCTTGCCATCCTGGGGCTGGAGGCGGTGCGGCCCGACGAGAGCGCCTGGGAGGAGTATCGGATAGCCCTCTCGATGTTCCACGACAGCCTCGGTCGCTGCATGATGCAGTTTCTGACCCTCGGCAGCATCGGGCAGAACTACATGCTGCTATTCTTACGCTCGGTTCAGTGCCAGGTGGTCTCGGATGTTCGCCTGAGGCTCGCCATCACCTACATGAGACTTTTATGGCTCTGGGCTTGCCCACTGCTGGTGCCGCCCCCGACATCGACCAGCAAGTCGTTGTTCAAGGCCATCATTCATACCCACTCGAAGAAGTGGCGTTTCGGGAGGGTGGTGGGCCCAACATCGCATTCTTCACCCACAGCGCTCGGGGGCACTGCGTGCACTCAAAACATGTATGTTCCGGGACAAGTTATGATGGTCAACCTTCGTGTTGATCGCCGTGAAGACGCACGTGGCGACCCGGGGGCTCACCGACATTCGCCATGATGACAGGCGCGGTTGCTTGTGGGAGGCGGGTGCGAATGATGACCACGGGGTGCTGAAGCTGACGGACAGCACGGTGGACCAACATCGACGCTGTTGGACCCAGAGGCCGGACGAATAGAGGTACAGCACGCGCGTCGAGCAAATCCTGCGGCGCATCCCGGGAGCCAGGGGCCTGGCACAAGTCAATGACAAGAGTTGCGACGCTGAGGACGGTCTGGTTGTAGATGTCGATACGTGGTTAAAAACCTTCTTGCTACGAGAGGGTGTCTGTCGACGGAAGCCCAGAGGACCCCGACGATTTATCGTTCGGGCACGGGGCAATCGGGAATACCGTGCAATCGTGGTTACCGTGCAATTTGCGTGGTGCATGCAACCCGAGCCTCGGGCATTTGTGGGCGCACTGCCCTCGCTTAGAGACGTCGTGCCTGGCTACCGCTCGAACATCTGTGCTTCGACTTTGATGGCAGAGTACCGCGCCGCTAGTTTTGTCGACGTGGGGCCGGGTTTGCTTCAGCTGCTCGCCGATTCCTTTTCCACGTACCGCAATGCTGACCGCGGCGTGTGAATTGGCCTTGGTTCTCATGGAAGGTGGCTTGATGGCCACGCTACATCCTCAGGGTTATGATCGAGTTTGCGAAACTCGGGCTGCCTCGGGATGGTTCCTTCATGTATGTTCCTACTCCAGAGTTCGGGTGGTCCGCTATCACCATTTTTTCCCTTCATGAACCAGGTTACCGCGCTCATGGTGGACAACGTTTTGGCCCAGTCCGCCCAAGACACTGATGCGGATTCCCCGTGGGAGGCCGCGGGCAGGACAAACAAAAATCGCGAACGCGCCCGAGGATCTGAAGGAGCAGTTGCAGCAGGTAGCCAGATGGAGGACTGCAGGGAGTTTTTTCCACACGCCAGACTACCATATTAGTGCCTGCGTCAACGTGTAGGAATTTGTCGATGGCGTATCGAAGGCACCTCAAGACAACAACACCTGGAATTGCCGCGACTCGCTCACCAGTGGGACGGCGCCCACGAACACGCCAAAACAATATTGCATCTACTAGAAGAGCATATCGGAAACAAGGTTGAGATTGGCCACTGCCGCAATGGAAGCGGCAGTCCCAGTACACCGCCCGCGGCCGATGATCCACTGGGCGGCAAGCGAGTCACCCAGCCGTCGGGAGGTTGCCTGAGTGACCTTCCTATTTCCACGGGGTCCCCGTCTTACGTCAGAGCGCATCCGTCTACCGAAGCGGCTTTTGACACCAAGATGAGCATGATGGATTCAGCATGGCAGGCTTCGAGGCCGACACCAGAGTGGTGGAGACTGTCCTGCAGCGCGCCTCAAAGTCGGACCGGCGTTAAAAATCGCAGAAGCCTGGTTTGATTGCGGCGGAAGTTCTTTTTCTGTTGCATCCCCTCAGCTAGAGCAATCCGCTGTGTTGAGTTTTCCTCGTGACGTGTAAATCGACATTCCGGCGATCGAGTGTTCCTTGGAGTTTCCAGCGATGGCAGGCGCGATTGCATATCCAATGAAGGTGGGGAGCATGCGGACAGGAGGGGGGTTGGAGGAGGCTGGGGGGAGGAGGGGGGCCTCCGCAGTTTTGTCAACTCCCACATGCGCCTCCGCTCGGCGCTGCCTGTCCCCAGACCCCCCCCGTGGCCAGCCGTGGCGCTTCCGGCCCGCAGGGCCGCCGCGCGACTGTGGCCAGCTCGACGCGAAGCGTCGAGATCACACCCGCATCGTGAGGCGCCCCGGCGCCAGGTCTGGACCGGTGGCGCTGTCAACACGAATGTCTCGTAAAATTGTTTGGGCAAGGCGCAAAGGCTCTCTCAAGAAAGCAGTAGTGTCAACTGGAGCTAAAGTGGCTGCCAAGACGAAGTAATCATTCATTTCAGCAGCAGGGAAGCTCCACTTGCTCGAAAAAACTCGCCGCAAGGAGCTCTGCCTGTTCAATGCTGGCAGCGGTTGCACCCGCGCAGTTTCCTACTTGAGGGGGTGTTCCTGCTTTCCTGCTGCAAGGGCGCCACTGGCCCGCGCCCTCGGGGTGCCCATGACCCCCTCGCGTCGTGAACGCAGTCACGACGGGATGTGCGAAGCAAGAAATCGCGACGTCGGGGGTCTGGGTCTTGGGTTTACGTCGGGCCCGTCCCTCTACAGGAGGAATGTGCAAACATAGTTCAACAATCGTCTTTTCTTGTGAAAGAAACTATGTTTGAACATGTTTTGGAATATGTTTCGACTAGCTGTAATGTTTCGCCCCAAATCCGCCTTTCGGGGGACACGCTCGACCGAATCTTGCGCACAGCGCGATCCCCACGAGGCGCGATTCCATCGATGCACCCCGCGCGTGGCGAACGCCGCCGACGCGCCCTCTCTGGCCACGGGGCCGCCGAGGAGGAGCCTGCACCGCGGGGCCCGTGCGACCCGACGTCGCGAAGAGCTGCCGCCGACCTCCGGCGAGGCGGGAGTGCCCCTGGCGGGAGCAGTTGATGCGACGCCGTGGCGGGGCTCCTCTCGATGCCGCCGGCTCGATTCGAGGCGCTGTCGAGGGATTCCGATTCCGATGCGATTCGATTTCGGATGCCGATTTGGGATCCGGCTTCTCACTGGAGGCTTGCTAGCCTGCCGATGTCTGCCGCTTCGATTCTGGTCTCTCCTCCCAGGATCTCCAGGGCCGTGGGCCTGACATGTTTCCCGCCCACGGGATGCTTGCTATCCGGTCGGCCATGCAGACGCGTGTCTCCAGGCCCGATCGGGCCTCGAGGCCTGCCGCGTTCTGTTGTTGTTGTTGTTGTTGTTGTTGTTGTTGTTGTTGTTGTGGTTGTGGTTGTGGTTGTGGTTGTGGTTGTGGTTGTGGTTGTTGTTGTTGTCGTCGTCGTCGTCGTCGTCGTCGTCGTCGTCGTCGTTGTCGTTGTTGTTGTTGTTGTTGTTGTTGTTGTTGTTGTTGTTGTTGCTTTCTGCTGTTGCTCTTGGAAAACCGCCCATGCATCCATGCATCCCTCCTCCTCCTCCTTCTCCTGGTCCTCCTCCTCCTGCTGCTCCTGCTCCTTCTCCTCCTTCTCCTCCTCATCCTCCTTCTCCTCCTCCTCCTCATCCTCCTTCTCCTCCTCCTCCTCATCCTCCTTCTCCTCCTCCTCATCCTCCTCCTCCTTCTCCTTCTCTTTTGTGGGGGTCGGGGGGCGTGAGAGGGGGGGAGAGGTGAGCCAGAGGCCCCCAGCAGGGGGAGTGCACCACAGAGTGGTAGCCGCCGCCGCCCGCTGGCAGCAGTTTTTGCCTGCCGAATCATGGTCTCCGGCCAGACGGGGCCGCGTTTCCCCCCCGGACAGACGGGGGGCGGGCTCGCCCCAGGCAGCTCCTGAGCTAAGACCCTTGCCCTTCTCCTCCCTCCCATCCCTCCTCCCGCCTGCCTCCTCACTTGACCCTCCCTCTCTCCCGCGCCGTGCTCAATTTCAACCGCCGGGTGTCACAGCTCCTGGGGCGCAGGGCGCGCCCTCGACCCCCCGTGTTTTCGGGAGCCGAGGCGTGCCTCCTGCCTGGATGTCTGTGCCGAGAGGCCCCTGAGTCCTGGGCTCGCGCGAATCGAACCCTCCCTGTCCCTTGTTCTAGAGCACAACGGTGTCATGGTGTTGCCGGCTTCCTGTGAACCCACAGGTGTGCGATCGCGCCGTCGGACAACCAAAAGGGTACCCAAGAGGGCCTCCCGCGGGACACAAGGTGACCCCAGAATCTCCCTAGAAGGCCTTTCGACGGCCCAAGACGGCACCAAGACGGACCCACGGCGGCCCCCAGACACCCACCATACGGCCAAGAGGGCTCCAACACGGCCCACGAGAGCCCCACGACTGCGTAAGACTTCCTCCTCATCGTGGCCCCTCCTACTTGTTTTCCCCCCTCGCCCCCATCTCAGGTTCTGCTCCTCTCCCTCCTCAGGGCAGTCTGCCCCCTCGTGAGAAGTGGAGAGGGGGGAGGAGTCAGCGGAGGACGGAGAGGAGGAGGAGCTCGGGGATGCGGGACAGAAGGGAGGAGGAGGAGGATGATGAGAGGGCAGGAGGAGGAGGAGGCGGAGGAGGAGGAGGAGGAGGAGGAGGGGAAGGAGGAGGAGGAGGATGAGGAGAGGGCAGGATGCGGAGCAGGAGGAGGAGGAGGAGGAGGAGGAGGAGGAGAAGGCAGGTCATCGTGCTCGCAAAGACAACTGGAACGGGGATGGTACTGACAAGGAGAAGGAGGAGGAGGAGGAGGAGGAGGAGGAGCAGCAAGAGGATGACGAGAACGTGGAGGATGAGGATGAGGATGAGGATGAGGATGAGGATGAGGATGATGATGATGATGATGATGATGATGATGATGATGATGATGATGATGATGATGATGATGATGATGATGATGATGATGATGATGATGATTATGATGATGATGATGATGATGATGATGATGAGATGATGATGATGTGATGTGATTGTGATGGTTATGTGATGGTGATGGTGAGGAGGATGAGGATGATGACGATGATGATGATGATGATGATGATGATGATGATGATGATTATGATGATGACGATGATGATGATGATGCTGATGATGATGATGATGTGATGATGATGATGATGATGATGGTTGATGATGATGATGATGATGAATGCTGATGCTGATGCTGATGCTGAATGATGATGATGCTGCGATGATGATGATTATGAGATGAGATGATGATGATGATGATGATGATGATGATGATGATGATGATGATGATGATGATGATGATGATGATGATGATGATGACGATGATGCTGAGGAGAAGGAGGAGGATGAGGAGGAGGAGGAGGAGGAGGCGGAGGAGGAGGAGGAGTAGGAGGAGGAGGAGGAGCAGGAGGAGGAGGAGGAGGAGAAGGAGGAGGAGGAGGGGGAGAAGGAGGAGCAGGACGAGGAGGACGAGGAGGACGAGGAAGACGACGAGGCGGAGGAGGGTGACAGCAGAAGAGATGATGAAAACAACCCGCGGCCGCTCGGGAGCCCGCCGTGCGCCCGCGCGCCCCAGCGCCGCGAGGATGCCGTCCGCGATGCGTCCCCGCCGCCGCGGCCACCGTCGGCGTCGAGGTCGGCGGCGCCGTCCGAGCCGTCGTTGGAGGCGGCCCGCGGCCGTTCGGGCGGCGGCGCTGCCGCCGCCGAGGGGGGAGGAGGGGGGCGGCAGGGGGCGCACGGCCGATCCAAGGTATACGAGCGAGGTTGCCTCGCGTTTGTTGAACGTTTTTTGTGCATCCTCGGGGGGGGGGGGGGGGGGGGCTAGCCTCGAGTTGTCTTCAGTTTGGCTGGCGGAGGGTCGCATGCCGCATGCTCGTGAAGGATGAGGAGGGGAGGGGAGAGGTAGGAGGAGGAGGAGGAGGAGGAGGAGGAGTGAGGAGGAGGAAGAAGGAGAGAGAGGAGGAGATGAGGAGGAGGAGGAGGAGAGGAGGAGGAGGAGGAGGGGAAGAGTGGGGAGGAGGAAGAGGAGGACGAGGGGGGAGGAGGAGGAGGAGGAGATGAGGAGGAGGAGGAGGAGGAGGAGGAGGAGAGGGGAGGAGGAGAGGGGAGGAGAGGAGGAGGAGGAGGAGGATGAGAGAAGTGGATGAGGAGGCGAGGGAGGAGGAGGAGGAGGTAGGAGGAGGGGGGGAGGGAGAGGAGGAGGGAGGAGGAGGCGGGAGGAGGAGGAGGGATGAGGATGAGGAGGAGGAGGAGGAAGAGGGGAGGATGAGGAGAGAGGAGGAGGGGAGGAGGTGGAGGAGGAGGAGGAGGAGGAGAGGAGGAAGAAGAAGCAGAAAAAATGAAGAAGAGGAGGAGGAAGGAGGGGAGGAGAGGCGATAGTGAAGGAGGAGGAGGAGGAGGAGAGGCGGAGGCGAGGGGGAGGGGGAAGGTAGGGAGGGGGAGGGGGCGGGGGGAGAAGGGGGCGCCGCGCACGGCGCCTCCTTGGCGGAAGCCGCCGTGCGGGCCGCAGTGCCTGGTGGGGCGTCGCGGCGCACCGTCGTGGCTGTTGCGCGCTCGGCCATCTTCGGCATTCCTTGTCGCGTGCGGAAAGGGGCCGAAGCCGACGGCCAAGGCGGCGCCTGCCGCTGCGCCCCCCGCCGATCCTGCGCTGCCTGCTGGCTCGGACGGCCGCCCCTGCGACGAATGCGGAACGGCTGCGGCGCCGACGCCGTACCCTCGCAGCACGGCGTGTCGCGGAGGCGCCACCCGCTGCTGTTACCGCGGCGGCTGACGCTGGGTCTGCCGGAGCTGCTGCCTTGGGCCCTGGGCCCGAGAGAGCGGCGGAGGCAGAGGTGCCCGACGCGATGGAGAAGGAGGAGGTGCTCGACGACGAGAGGGCCGACTCGGCCCCCGTCGTGCTCTCCTCGGCGGCTGGCGGTACTGCGCCCCCCGTGCGACTGCCGTGGAAGCAAGGGCTCCCTCGAGGGCGCGAAGTTATTCGCGCTTCGCGCTTCGCGGTCCTCGTTCCTTCTCCCCCTCCTCCTCGTCCTCCTATTCTCCCTTTGGGAGGGCGGCGCGAGAGCGCGAAGTTATTCGCGCTTCGCGCTTCGCGCAGCGCGAAGCGCGAAGTTGGGAGCCCTAGTGGAAGCCGAATGGCGTGAGGCGCTGACCGAGCAGAACCGCCAGAGGCCAGGTGTTTCGGCCGCCGGCGTCGTGCAGTTTTCCGCCCCGCCGCTCGATGCGCTACGCCGCACCGCGGCCACGTGGCCCCGCTCGGGCGCCGGCGCGGGGAGGGGGCAGCAGCGGGGAGGGCGGCGACAGAGCTGCGCACCCCGCGGAGAGGGGGAGGTCGCCGCTCTCTCCCCCCCCTCCCGGCACCGAAGGCTCGCCCTCGGCGCGCCCCACTTCGTAGGCCTCTGGGGCCGCCCGCGGCCCCGACCTGGCGCCTCTCTCGTCTTCCGCTCGCTCGCTCGCTCGCTCCTTCCTCTGCGTCCTCCTCCTCGTCCTGGGCGGTATAGAGGCGGGGCCTCCCTCGTGCGAGCGCGCGGCCGCCTGCCATCCGTGTCTGAGAGGCTGGAGCGGGGCAGGGTCGGATGCTCCCCTGCTGGTCGGCAGCCTCCTGCCGCTCCCCCTCCCCCCACCCCCTGCCCCCCCTTCGTCTTCCCCCTTCTCCCTCCTCCTTCCTCCTTGCCCCCCTCCTTGCCGCCCCCCTCCTTCCCCCTTCTCCCCTTCTCCGCCCTTCCTTCTTTCCCTCTTCCCCCCCCCCCTTCACCCCCCCCCTCCTCCTTCCCCCTCTCCCCCCCTCCTCCCCCCCCCCTCCCCCCCCTCCCTTCCTCTCCCCCGGCCTCTTCCTCCTCGTCCCTGGCTGCTGGACGCAGCGCGTGGCGCCAGCGACGCTCGGGCGCACTCCCGCAGGACGGGCTGGAGGGGCCCCGTGGCCCCGCGCGGCAGGGGCGCCGCCTGACGTCCGAGACGGGCCGGCAAACCACCAGCCCACAGTCCAGCGAACGAGCGCCGAATTTTCTCGCCGAAGAAGAGGAATCGAATACTCATTGCCTGGAGCTCCCTTTACTTAACGGGCGAAGAACGGTGTAACATAAACTTTTTCGTTGTCGGGGGCGCCTGTCCCAGGGCGGCTGGAAAGTTTATACCCTTACGGTGGCACCATAGGGGTATAAACTTTCCAGTCGCCCTGGGACAGGCGGCCCCGACAGCGAACAAGTTTTTTTTATGCCGTGCTTCGCCCGTTAATTTATGGGCATCTATTAGTATGGACCTGTCCGCCGTGAGTGTCTAAGCGCAACAGCTCACGAACAGAAGCGGGCTTGAGTATTGACGGCCTGGGAGGGAATCCAGCTGTGGATAACTTGGGGTGTGAATGGGTCTCAGTAGTACGAGTGCGTCTTTGCGCATGAGCCTCGGGCCTCCTGGGGCCTCCGAAAACCTCCTGGGGCTTCCTGGGGTCTATTGGATCCTCCCGGGGCCTCCTGGGGCCTCTTGGGGCTTCCTGTGGCCTCCTGAGGACTCCTGGGGCCCCGCGTGGCCTCCAGGGGCTTCAGGAGCCTCCCGGATCCTCATGGGGCCTCCTGGGGAGTTTTCGTGTCCCAGGAGAGGCCCAATCTGTAGGAACAGACATAAAACATTGTGGATTGAAGCCGCAGGAGAAGGGCAATATATAGGAACACGCGTAAAACACCAAGGACTCGTGCCCCAGGGGAGACTCAATATCTAGGAACCTAAGTAACAAAATATGATGTGTGGATCCGCAGGAAAGGACACGTTATGGAAACAGACGCAAACACAAAGGATTCGCAGTCCAGGGAAGGCCCAATCTATAGAATCATCTGTAAAACGCCAGGGGTTGGAGCCACTCCTGTGGCCTTCTGAGGCCTCCTGCTCTTGGGGCCTCGTGGGGGCTCTGCCTTCTGGCGTTTCCTGTGGCCTCCCGTGGCCTCCTCGGACTTCCTGGTGTTTCCCAGGGCCTTCTAGAGCCTCTTGGGGCCTCCTGGAGCCTCCTTGGGCCTCCTGGGGCCTCCTGGGGCATCCTGTGGCCTGGTGCCTCCTGGGACCTCATGTGGCCTCCTGGGGCCTCCTGGTGCCTGCTGGAGCTTCCTGTGGCATCCTGAGGATCCACGCCCACGAGTCTGGCCAGCAAAACCAGCAAACCGTTCGAGACATTCTCGCAATCTGGGCCACCAGGGGTTGGATCCCCAGCGCCTCGCTCGAGACATCCTCCAAATCTGCTTCGAAGCGGAGGATGTTGGGAGCACAAGCAGGCAAACCGCTTGAGACATCCCCGCCATTTTGGCGCGAACGGAAGAATGAGATACCCCGTGGCGGCTCCCCCTTGGGGGCGCCTCGCTCGAGACATCTTCAACATCTGCCCCGAAAGCGGAGGATGTTGGGGGACAAACAGGCAAACTGTTCGAGACATCCCCGCCATTTTGGCGCGAACGGAGGAGTGAGATACCCCTTGGCGGCTCCCCCGTGGGGGTGCTGAAACCCGCGCTTCGCTCGAGACATCCTCAGAATCTGCTCCGCCAACACCATCATTAGCGTCACCATCACCACCACCACCATCATCATCAGCATCAGCATCAGCATCAGCATCATCATCATCATCATCATCATCATCATCATCATCATCAGCAGCATTATCATCATCATCATCATCATCATCATCATCATCATCATCATCATCATCATCATCATCATCAGCTTCATCAGCATTGTCATCATCAGCAGCAGCAGCAACAACATCAGCATCAACCATAACCCCATCTTGGGATATGGGGAATCATAGTACGAGTTAGCCTGACTAACGTGTGAGTCTGAGCGATGAGTCAGGTGTGGGTGTGACTATCCTTCCGGCGCGGTGAAAATGATTATTCTTTGCGTGGAGTTCGCCATATGTACATCTATTCGCATGGACCTGTCCGCCGTGAGTGTCTAAGCGCAACAGCTTTCGAATAGAAGCGGGCGTGAGTATTGACGGCCTGGGAGTGAATCCAACTGTGGTTAACTTGGGGTGTGAATGGGTCTCAGTAGTACGAGCGCGTCTCTGCGCAAGAGCCTGGGGCTTCCTGAAACCTCCTGGGGCTTCCTGGGGCCTCCAGGAGCTTCTTGGGGCCTCCTGGGGCCTCTTGGGGCTTCGAGTAGCCTCCTGAGGCCTCCTGGAGCCTCGCGTGGCCTCCTGGGGCCTCCTGGAGCCTCCTGGGACCACCTAGGGAGGATTCGTGCCCCAGGAGAGGCCCCATCTATAGGAACAGACGTACATAACATTGCGGATTGAAGCCGCAGGAGAAGGGCAATATATAGGAACACACGTAAAACACCAAGGACTAGTGCCCCAGGGGAGGCCCCATCTACAGGAACATACGGAAAACATTTAGGATTGTGTACACAGGCGAAGGTCAATAGATAGAAACTTACGTATGTCATCAAGGATTTGTGCTCCAGGTGAGGCCCAATCTAAAGGAGCACATGTAAAACACATGGGATTGGAGCCACTCCTGTTGCCTTCTGAGGCCTCCTGCTCCTGGTGCCACTCGGGGCCTCCTGTTGCCTTCAAGGACCTCCTGGCGCTTCCTGTGGCCTCCTGGGGCCTCCTGTGGCTTCCTGCGGCCTCCTGTAGCTTCCTGGGGCCTCCTGGGGCTTCTTGGGACATCCTGTGGCCTCTTGAATCTTCCTGTGGCCTCCTGATGCCTCCTGGGACCTCATGTGGCCTCCTGGGGCCTCCTGGAGCCTGCTGAAGCCTCCCGTTGCATCCTGGGGAGAATATGTGCCCACGAGTGTGGCCACCAAACAGGCACACCGATCGAGACATCCTCGTAATCTGGGCCCCCTGTGGGGCGATAACCAGCGCCTCGCACGAGACATCCTCAGAATCTGCTCCGAAAGCGAAGGATGTTCGCGACCAGAACAGGCAAACCGCCTGAGACATCCCCGCAATGTGGGCGCGAACTGAGGCCGTGAGATACGCGCCTCGCACGAGACATCCTCAACATCTGCTCCGAAAACGGATGATGTTCGCGACCACTACAGGCAAACCGCTCGAGCCTTAGGAGTGCTAAAACCAGCAAGCCTCTCGAGGCATCCTCATCATCCGCTCATCGTCATCCTCCTCCTCCTCCCCCTCCTCCTCATCATGATCATCATCATCATTATCATCATCTGCAGTACATTATCATTATCATCATCATTATCAGCATCATTATCATAATCCCTATTATCATCATCATCATCAGTATCATCATCAGCGTCAGACTCACTCATCACTCACCATCCGCATCATACTCACATCATACTCACCATACCATGGTCATCATACGACACTCATCCTCATCGTCTAGTGCAGAGAGGGGGGACGGAGGGGAGGGATGATGATGAGGGGTCCGGTGCGGTCAGAGAATAACAAGAACCCCCTTCTTTGGGATGTGGGGAATAACAAGAACCCCATCTTAGGAGATGGGGGACAAACGCCATCAACGAACTTTTGGCGCTCCGCGCGGTTTGATTGGATCCGCGTTGGGGCCCCCTGGCGGGGGGGGGGGCCCAGCGCGGATCCATGGAATCTGCGCGGAGCGCCCAAAGGCTACGTTTATCCACCATGGGCCATTATTGTGGTCCGCGCCCCGGTCTAAAAGTCTCGAAGTGGGCGCCCACGGCCTTTGCATTGTCGTCGCGCATCCTTCTGATACGGGCCGACCGTATCTTCGGATGAAACTCCTGGGAGGTCAAATTCTGATTTTGCCCTGGTCCGAAATCCGGCTTAATCCCGCTTAATCCCGCTTAACCCGCTTAATCCGGCTTAATCCCGCTTAATCCGAGGCCCACTCTGGCGTAACAGCTCCCAAATTGGGCTGAATCCTCCTTCATCTTTCCGACGAACGCCTCCCAGTAGTTGCCTCCTAACGTACCCCACCTCCTCCCCCCTCCGCCGCCGTGCCGCCTGCGCCCAGCCGCGGCCCTCCGCAGGAGGAGTGGCCGCTCCTGCTGGACAGCATGTCCTCGAGGCCTCGGCCCCTGCCCCCGCTCCCCCCGGCGCTGCCGCCCAGCCTCGCCCTCTCCCCCCCCCTCCTCGCCTGCCCACCGCTGCGGGCGGAGAGCGCGAGGGGGCACGCGCTGCAGTCAGGGCCGCCCTGGGCTCGGGAGGGGGTGGGGTCGTCGGGCCGCTCCTGGCCTCGGGCGGCGGGCGAGGGGGGGAAAGGAGGAGGAGAAAGAGGCCCTCTCCGGAGGCGGCGGGACTTCCCCGAGGCCCCCCTTGCGCCCTCGGAGGAGTTCCCCGCGCCCTCGCGGACGGCCTGGCAAGACCTGCCGGCAGGCCGGGGGGCTTCCGAGCCGTCTGAGAAGGCCCGCCCCAGGGGCGGGCCTTCTCAGACGGCTTCCTCCTCGCTCCTCGGCCTCCCCCCCCCCCCCCCTCCTGAGCGAGGAGGAGGGCCTCCTCCTCGCTTCCCCCCCCCCCCCCCCCCCGCCTCCCCCCCCTTGGCTCGCCGCCGATGCCACTGCTGCCGTGGGGGTGCGTGTTTGTGGCCCTGGGCCCTCCGTGGCCAGAAGGCCCCGCTGCGCCCCTCGTGTGGTGGCACGACGGCCGCAGGAGAGCGCACGAGTCGGGCATGGGTTGGCACGGTGGGGCGCGTCCCTCCTCCCCCTCCTCTCCTCCCCTCCTCCCTCCTCCTCCCACCTCCTCCTCCTCCTCCTCCTCCCTCCTCCTCCCTCCCCTCCTCTCCTCCTACCTCCTCCTCCTCCTCCTCCTCCTCCTCCTCCTCCTCCGCCTCCTCCTCCTCCTCTCCTCCTCCTCCTCCTCCTCCTCCTCCTCCTCCTCCTCCTCCTCCTCCTCCTCCCTCCTCCTCCCTCATCTTCACTCCTCCTCCCTCCTCGTCCGTGCTTGCCTCTTCGGCCCCAGCGTCAGAACAGTTGGTTCAGGAATGCGCCCCGGAGGCCTTCGAACCCTGGAGGGTTCGAACTCCGATGAGTGTGGCGGTGATGTCTGCGGCCAAGCCTCCCTTGGTGTTCGACTGACTTCCAGACCCTGGATTCCGTTTCCAACTGTTCCTTACTCGGTTTGTTTACCGTAGGGGCGCGGCGGATGAGGGGCAGCAGCAGCAGCAGGAGCGCACGGCGTTTTCGACAGCAGACCATGGAGTCCCCAGCAGACCAGGCGCGGCCCCCGCTATTTCGAAGACTCCACCGGAATCCCAGCTTGTCTGGTTGCGAACAAGAGGCATGCAATCGTGCAACAGTTACGAGGATGGGACGGAGGCTCCTTTCCAAACCAGGGCTTTGATCGGAAATGAACACTGGCACGAGCACGGCGATGGCGCGGAAGGCGATGCTCAGACTGGCAGCGGTGATGGTTATGATGATGGTCGTGGTGTGGTGATGGTGGCGATGATGATCGGCGGTGGAGTAGGACGAGGACAAGGAGATCAGAAGGAGGAACATTACATTGCCATCGTGCTCGCTAGGAAGGGGACTAGAAGGAAGGGGAGCAGAAGGAGGAAGAGAAGGGATTGCTTCCCCCCCTTGTCCCCCTTTCTTTGACCTTCCTTTCGCCGCTCTCCCCTGCTGTGCGATCATCCAGAGCGCCCCATGAGCTCCGATGTCAGCTCCCCGTGTGTCCTGAAAGTTCGTGAACATGTTCGTGCAAGTGTTTTTGCTGTTTTTCACCCTGTGTTCATTCCGTGTTCAGCACTCCGCATGACCTTTTGCCCGCCCGCTGCGTTTTCTTTCTCTATGCAATGCGTTTTCACACTTCTTCGTTCAGCCTTCTAACAGCTCGACCGCTCCTGCCCCTTCCAGAGCAGCCGCTTTCAGCTGCTGTTCGTTAACCGTTTCCGCTCCGAGTTCGCGCAGTTTGTATATTGTTTCCGAGGTTGCCGCCTTCGTCTCTCCCGTGGCGTAAAGTCGGGCATGTCCCTCTACGGGAGGAGCATCGCTCAAGAATAGGGACAATAGTCCGGTGACGATTTCCCGTGCTCCTTTGATGACTATGTTTGATTATGTTCGCCTATTGCTCAGTGGTCTTCCCGAATCCGTCTGTCTGAGAACATGCCCGACCTAAGAGTAGCGAGTTTAGACAACGTAGCAAGCAGAATAGTTTGGAACGATTTGGCCAACAGATTGAGCCATCGGCGCGGAGGAGGGGAGGGAGGGAAACATTGCCGTAACAGGATGTCCGCCATTGCAGGAGTCTCGTGAATCGGGTTGGGAGGATGGGATGGGGTTGGGAGACATCAGGATCTCCTTACCCGTAGGCGGCCGAAGTTATCGTTCATTGCATCCGGATGCTATTGCTCATGCCTTGAATCTTCCCACCCCTTTCCTCCTATCGATGATCCTCCGATTGTGTGTTAGCCCAATGTGTGTTATCCTCCCTCAGCTGCGCCGATACCTCGCAGCACTTGACAGCCATCAGAGCGCAGAAGCAAGTGTTGCGGGGCCCCGCAGGAGTCGTCTTGTCGATCCGGTTCGCCTTGTGCCCTTGCTCAAAAATTGACCCCAGCTCTTCCTCCCTTCCTTATCATCTTACTTACTCTCGCCTCCTTAATCCCCTCCCTCCTCTTCCCCGCTCCTGCCCCTCGCCCCTCTCCGTCGACAGCTGGTGCACATTGTCGACGCATTTTTTCGTTACTGACGTAACCCTTTCCGTCACTAAGGGTGGCTGTTGACGTAGCAATAGCATCACGTTTTCGGTCGTTCAGAGAAACCGACGCGATTGTCCGTTACCGACGCAATGTTTCCGTTAGGCACGGGCTTCCTTTGTTAATAGCGTAAGCGTTCCGAAGGTTCCGTCGCTTCCGCCAGTTCCGTCAGTTCTCCAGCCCATCTAATTTGTGTCAGTCGCGCGTTCCGCACTTAACTTCGCGCGCGGCACCTGCGATCCACCAGCGTACCGAGACGCCCCGTGGACCATCGATCCCAACACGATAGCTGTAGAGGGATGCGATCTAACTACGCCTGCTTGCGCTTTGAGACCGGGCCCGCGCACGGCTCCCCGATGCTCGTGTGTTGGGATCGGCTGAACATGCCACGTGCACCGCGCAGGCGTGTTCAACAGCGCGCGAATGGCGGGCCCGATCCCCAGCGATACGCAAGCGTCGCCCACGTGGGACTCGCGACATCCTACCGTCTACGGTCACGACTCTGGCCATGGCAGAAACAATGCTTACGTTGCATCTTCGGGGAACCTCGCTTGTCCCCCAAAACTGATGCCTTTTCTTGTGCCCGACGATGGCTCGATGCGGACTCGACGCTGATTAGGAGTGGATTCGATGCGACTTCGACATGCATTCGGCACGGATCCGACGAGTCCGACATGGACCGACATGGATTCGACACGGATTCGACGCGGATGCGGCCGCGACGGGACAGACAAGGCCTCGAGAATGCAACACACAATCCAGTTGTCTTGCCCCAGCCCGGTCGGTATTCCATGGGGGAAGCCCTTGTGGCATTCGGCGTGCGAGGGCACATGCAAGGCAAAGACGTATGATGGAGAGCGTTGTTGTTTAAATGCCAAAAACCTGCATGAGGGCCCCCAAGCCGCTGATACACGGCGTCCCACCAACCACGACCAATCTCCTCTCAGTCAGTCGTATATACTTCGGATGCAACTCCTGGGAGGACACATTCTGATTTTGACTTGGTCCGAAATCGGGCTAACCCCGCTTGATCTGGCGTAAGCCCGCCTAGCCTGGCTTAATCCCATTAGATCCGCGGCGTAATTCGGCGGAGCAGACCCCTAATGGGGTTTAATCTCCTTTGACCCTTTTGACGGAGACCTCCCGGTAGTTGCATCCAAATCTATACGACCACTCCTGAGGAGGAGCAGGAGGAACGGAAGCGGCAGAGTTAGGTTCAAGCTCAGCGCCGAGCGCCCCCAAAAATAGGGCCGCAGGCGGAAGCCGCAGGCGCAGGAGCAGCAGCATGGCAGGGCATGGGACGAGCAGGGGCCGTGGCAAAAGCGGGATCGCAGGAGGAGGAGGAGGACGAGGAGGAGGAGGCGGAGGAGGAGGAGGAGGAGCAGGGGAGGGGAGGAGGAGGAGGAGGAGGAGGAGGAGGAGAGAGGAGGAGGAGGGAGAAGGAGGAGGAGGAGGAGGTGGAGGAGGGAGGAGGAGGAGGAGGCAGAGGAGGAGGCAGGGGAGGAGGAGGACAGAGAGGGGGAGGAGGAGGAGAGGAGGAGGAGGAGGAGGGAGGGAGGAGGAGGAGGAGGAGGAGGGAGGAGGAGGAGGAGGAGGAGGAGGAGGAGGAGGAGGAGGAGGAGGAGGAGGAGGAGGAGGAGGGGGAGGGGGAGGAGGAACAGGTCGGAGTGGCAGGGAGAGCAGCAGGGCCTGGGCCTGGCGTCGCTCGGACGTGTTTTTTTTGTTCCGGCGAGGGCCATCGAGGAGCCTAAAGTGTCACTTTGCGAAGCATGGGCGCACGAAGCCGAAACGTGCACGGGGAATGGACGTCCGAGCGTCGGCGAGTGGAGGATGATTGTGAATGAGGAGGTGGACGAGGAGGAGGTGGGAAGCCCTTCCGCCGCACAAGTCCCTCGCCAGCCCGCGAGCTGCTCGATCCGGCGGGCAGTCCAGCGGCCGAGCTGGAGGACCCGGGGGCTGCGCGCTCTTCGCGCGGGTTTGGGAGGGTTTCCCGCGGCCCCCAGGCAGATGCACGGCCGACTCGGATCCGGTTGTTGCCCCCTTCTTTTAAAGTGGTGCCATCATCATCGTCATCGGTATTATCATCATCATCATCATCATCATCATCATCATCATCATCATCATCATCATCATCATCATCATCATCATCATCATCATCATCATCACCATCATCATCATCATCATCATCATCATATCATCATCATCATCAGCATCATCATCATCATAATTATCATCATCAGCATCAGCATCCTCATCCTCATCATCATCGTCGTTAGCATCAGCATCATCATCGGAATAATCAGCATCATCATCAGCAGCATGCTCTCAATCATCGCCACCATCACCAACATCTTCACCATCATCATCATCATCACCATCATCATCGTCATCATTATCATATTCATCTTCATGACCATCGTCATCATCACCATCATCATCATACGTTTCATCGTCACGATCATCCTCCATCATTCTCGTCCTTATCATCGTCGTCGTCGCCGTCGTCGTCATCCTCATCCTCATCGTCATCACCGTAATCGTCACCGTCACCGTCACCGCCATCGTCATCATGCCGTGTTGTGGGTCCAGCCAGCGTGCTGGGCGCGAGGCGGCGAACGTTGAGAGCTTTTGCCTTTTCTACCTGCTACGGGATCTTTTGCTCAGAGCTGCGCTTGCTGACTAGTTCCTGTGGCAAGCGCTCGTCGCCACCCCGAGGGCCTGCGCTGGACCTCCCTCCCTGGCGGCGCCGGGCGGCGCCGCCAGGTCCAACGTGGATCCGGGAGAAACCCGCGCGGACCTCCGAGTTTTTATGTTCCTGTCATGCTTCGCTCCCCCAAATCCAGGCCGAAGCCCCAGAGACCTGCCGACCTCGGCGGGAGCCCGGCGCGGCGCGAGAGGCCCCTAATGGGTCCCTCTCCGGGCCTGTGCCCGCGCTCCGCGCTGTCGATACCGCCCCCCGCTCGTGCCCACTCCGCGCGGGCGGATCCGCGCTGGGCCCCCCCGGCGCCGCCCTTGGCGCGCTCCGCGCGCCAGGGAGGGGGTCAGTGTCGAGGCCATGGCGGCCTCGTCGGATCCGCGTCGTTCTCTCTCTCTCTCTCTCTCTCGCGGGGGGAGGCGAGAGGGCAAAGGTCTAGCACAGGGTTACCTGCTGCCTTCTCGGGGGGCCTCGTCTGCCCCGTCGCGGCCCCCTCCGCGCCGACTCCGTGTCGAGTCCATGACGGCCTCGTCGGATCCGTGTCGAATCCGCGTCGAGCAGACGTCAAATCCGCGTCGAGGCCGCATCGAGCCCGCGTCGGCATTGCGCCGCCCATCGGGGGCGACGAAAGGGTAGGATAGCACAGGGTAGGTAGAAGGAGAAACAACATAACCAAAGAACGCCGTAGACACAAACTTGTGGCGCTCCGCGCGGACTTCTGGGACCTGCGCGGGGACCCCCCTGGCGGCGCGCTCCGCGCGCCAGGGAGGGGGTCCAGCTCACATCCAAGAAATCCACGCGGAGCGCCAAAAGTTTATGTCAATGCAGTTTTTGTTCGTCTCCCTACTACCTGGTGCGACAGACTCTAGACGTTTTCGCTCGGGCACTGCCACCCAGTCGAGTCGACTGAGGATATCTTCGAAGGTTCACTCGACATTGTCATTCGATTGTGCTGGCGCTGTCCCTTGTCGATTTCGCAATAATCGGCTTGCGTTTCGCCAGGTGCCCTCGGCTGCTTTTGGACGTCCACCAGCGATCCCGCTGGGGCCCACTCGGAATGCGGTGCCGTGCGCGCGTGGAGTGCCCCCTGGCCATTCTCTCACGGGCAATGGTACGGGAGGACAGGCTAATGGGCGGATGCGTCGACCCCAAATCTCCCATTGATCGCCGACAGAGGCCTGATAGCCACACCCTGCCCAGGACTGGTCGGACTCGCAATCGGGAGCGCATCGCCGATCTATCGGCGATGTATCGCCGCTTCCAGGTCGGTTTCCCCGCATCGGCCGGTCCACCTCTATTGTTCTACCGATGCCCCTCTGTTTCACTAAAGAGCGTTTGGATAAAGGGTGTTCTATCAATCCTCGACTCACGGAGCAGAACAACTCGACCATTCGCCAGATGCTCCAGGAATCTCCGATTTGATGCGCAAGTTGGGGGCACTACGGCCGGAAACTTTTGAGTAGCCTGTCGCTCCATCAGCTCTGGCCCACCACGCTTCGGCGCGACACGCTAGGTTATCCATTTCCCAGTCCCCAAGGCTTCAGCGTCCCGAGCCTTTGGGAGCCTCCCGCCCCGTGGAGCGGAGCGACACTCTCTCTCTCTCTCTCTCTATATATATACATCCGCTTGCAGCGGTAGCTCTTGCTCAGCGTGTCGCTGGAGCCGCCGCGGCGACACGCGCAGTAAACGTTCCCGACCGTGTGGCGTGCCCGCCAAAAGCATCGGTCGATTCGAGATCGAGCTTGCCCTCGGGCACCCCGCCCTCATCCTTCGGGACAGCCCCGATGTCGAGAATATTGCGAAGGCCTTCGGCCAGTGCCGCCGACCCTGAAGGGAGACGACGACGACGACGACGACGACGACGACGACGACGACGACGACGACGACGACGACGACGACGACGGTAACGACGACGATGCTTACGCGGGCCAGAGTCGACAGCCCCGACGTCGAGAGTATTTGTTTGCGCCTGCGCGCAGATCGACCGCAGGACGAGCTCATTGAGGCCTCGAGTGCACCGGCCTGTGCTGGCCCGCACAGGCTCCGCTGGAGGGCCGAGTCCCCAGCAAGGTCTGGACCCTCTCCGCGGGGCGATCTGCTTTTCCTCCAGAGTCGTTTTCCGACGGACCCCGCGTCCAGACAAAACTCGCGCCGCGATTTGTTTTTCGCGACGCGTGGGCGGCGGAGCTGATCAATACCCTGTGCTAACCCTGGTTGCAACCCACGCGATTCGGAGGACGACGACGAGCACACGAGTACGGAGAATTCCAATTCATGCAGTCAACCCGCGTTGTAAGGATAAGCGATTTTGCAAGGTTGCCCTTGCATCCTTGCCCTTTCGGCCCATCCCCGGCAACTTTCGCTGGCCAGCCCCACTCGAAAAACGCCAACATGGCTTTCCAAGGCCCTTGCATACTTACCGTGCATCCTTACTACACGGGTTGACTGCATCTCTCCTCTGAGAGTCGGGCCAGACGAAACGGCAGAATAGAGAAAGGGAGGGGATGTCAGAATATGTTGCTTGCAGCTGGTTTCCTCCCCGCTGCCGGGCCCATCCCTTGATGCATGGAGACCATCCGGCGCCAGGAGGCGCCACGAAAACCAGCTACGTGAGTTGGTTAACGATCTTTCTCGAAGAAGAGCAAAACATATAAACACAAAGTTTTGGCGTTCCGCGCGGGTTTCTCGGATCTGCGCTGGACCCCTCCCCCTTGGCGGGCGGAGCGCGCCAGAGGCGGCGCCGCAGGCGACGCCAGGGGATCCCCGCGCAGGTCCAAGAAGTCCGCGCGGGGCGCCATAAGTTTGTGTGTATGTCGTTTTTTATACCCTGTGCTATCCTACCCTTTCGCCGCCCCCGATGGGCGATGCAATGCCGACGCGGGCCCGATGCGGCCTCGACGCGGACTTGACGTCTACTCGACGCGGGTTCGACACGGATCCGACGAGGCCGCCATGGTTTCGGCACGGATTCGGCGCGGAGGGAGCCGCGATGGGGCAGACGAGGCACCCCCGAGGACGCAGACACAACCGTGTGATAGATCTTGCTCTCTCGTCCCCCCCCCGCGAGAGAGAGAGAGAGACGCGGTGCTCGCTCGCTCGCTCTTTCTCCGCCCGCGGGCGCTGCGAGGGGGGCGCTCCTTGGTGGGGTGGGGGGGGGCGAACTGCCTCCTGCAAGGCCAGCAGAGGCTTTCGTCGGGCGTCGTCCCGCTACAGGGGAAATAGTCAAAAATATCAGAAAAATGGTGCGGGTACGATTTTTTGACAATCTTGGCTATTGTTTGTGAGAATGTTCTGGGTATGTTTTATGTCTCGAGGGGGGGGAGAACACGAGCATCCAGAAGGTAGGGGAACGTATGGGGGATCCAGGGGCTTATCCAATGGATCGGTGTGTCCCTGGGCCCCCACTCGGGCACGCGCGCCTGCTCTGAGTCGAGCCCGTCTCTGTCGTGGGGCGCACTGTCGGCATCGAGTGCGCGAGCCCGCCTCTGGCCCACGCCGAGGTGCTTCACGTTCCGAGGGTGCTCTATAGTCGTCCCGCGCCCCTCCCCGCTCTCCTCCCTGCATTCCCCTGCCTTTGTTCTCATTCCCCTGCATTCCCCTGCTTTCCTTCCGCGTTCTCAAGTCATTCGCTTCCCACGCATCCCACTGTAAGCCTGACCGCCTGCTGGACCCCCCTCGCCGCGGAGGTAAAAGAACAGTCTCTGCCGTGGGGCCCTCTCCGCCCGCTCTGCCAGGATGGCACTGGGAGGGCCCGCGAATAGAAGGAGAGCAAATTGCGCTCTTTCGCCTTCTAGATTCGAGGGCCTCTCCTGGGAGGCCCTCGTCGCCACCGCCGGATTCGCTTCGAATTCCCCGTCAGCATGTACTCTATGAGGTCCGAGGAGAGCCGAAACATAAGAACAAGTGCACAAACATAAGCTTTCGAAGCTTCGCGCGGATTCCTTGGGTCGGCTCTTGGCCCCCGCTGACGGTGCCTCTGCAGCACAGGAGATGGGGTCTTCACCAGGGGGAGACGGCCCTGGACGTTGGTGCTGTAACCCTCAGGCCACCTCAGAAGCCCGAGGACTGCCACCACCACCGAGGTCGGAGTCGTCCTCCCTCGGCGGGGGCAGCCGCCGATCTCGGTGCTGGTGCGGGCCTCGGAGCCTCCCCTCTGCCGCCGCCCGCCCTGCGAAGACGTCCTGGGAGGGCCCGCGGAGCCGTGCCTTCCCAGGATGTCCCCGGGGAGCCTCGAAAGGCCCTCTGGGGGGGGCATCGGGAGGCCTGGCCCCGTTCCAGCTCCATGCCCCCCCTTCCTGCATCCTCCTCCTTCTCCTCCTCCTGCTCCCTCTCCTCCTGCTCCTCTCCTCCTCCTCCTCCTCCTCCTCCTCCTCCTCCTCTTCCTCCTCCGCCTCCTCGTTCTCCCACCAACCCTCTAGGACCCCCAGATGGGGTCAAAGCAGACGGAGTCGGAAGGTCGAACCGCATCGCTCATGCAGCAGCGATGCGGCTCGATGTGGAGCCCGATCTTCTCCACAACGACGTCGCCGATGCATCGGCGATGCGGCACGATCCTACGACCCCATACACACCGACCCCATCTGGGAGGCCTCTACACTGTCCCCCCCCTGCCTTCAAAATTGCCGAACACCCTTTTGAGAACTGCAGGTGCCCCCCCCAAAAAAAACTACAGGTGCCCCCCTATCGATTTCTGGAACCCCGTTATGAACACATCCGGCCCGGACCAACTATTCCTCCACCCCCTCTATGTTGCTGGCGATGAGCAATCTTGTGCGAACCAAGCGCCCCTGTGTACGCTCAAGGCGCGGAATGAGCAGAGCACCAGTGATGCTTTCGACAACCCTCGAAAGCTGGGCAGCTGGACGCAGTCCGCGATGATGATCCGGATCGGCTGTCGCGTTCTTCTCGTGCCCTCCCGTCGTCTGTGCCCGCCTCGTGCCGCTGTGCGCCTTCCAAGATTGTGTTTGTCATCCTCCTGCGCGTATCGGTCGCTGCCTGGGCCCCCACCCGGTAACGGTAATGATCGTGCGTAAGGGGGGGGGTGGACCCCCGTGCTGGTGCTCGCGCGCATACTACGGCGATCGCAGCGCAGCACCGCCGCGCGTGCCCCACCCCGCTTACCGTTACCCCCCCATCCGCGATAATTACCGCTACCAGAAAGGAAAAAAAATGCAAATTCCTTTGGGATTTCCGATGTTCCTCGTTTTCGGTCCTCGATTTATGATGCTCCAACCTGCTTTAGCCTTGGTCACCAGGAAGAAGTCCGAGCGCCGAATAAAAAGTACGGAAACTCGAGGGAATTCACGTGTCGGGCCCTGGGAGACATTCGCCCGACACTGTCTCGACACTGTCTCGGCACTCTTTTGACACTTTTCCGGGTGCTCGAAACTATTTCTGGGATGTGGTCCTGAAGTAGGATGGGAACAACATAATCACATAATTCAGAGCGTGAATTACCTACCCCGCTTTCGCTTCCAGGAAAAACCAAGTCATACCACGCGCCTCCTTGTCAAGCGGCCTGACCAGTACAGGCCGTAGTTTGGCATCGCTTGGTATCTCTTGGAAGCGAGGGTGGTCAAAAGCGAGGTAGGTTTGTTTTCCCCCTAATAATCCTCGATCCTCGTCGATCCTCCTCGATCCTCCTCGACCCTCCTCGTGCTCCATCCTCTTCGATCCTCGGTCCCAGCGGCAGGGGCACAGTGGAGGCCCGTGCCAAGACACACCCTGCTTTGCCTCCAGGATGCCCCGGGTTTTTTTTTGGGGGGGGTCGAGTCAACGACACCGCAACGGGTACTTACTAACGGGTACTTTGCAATTCTGCAGAAAGTTGCCACTTTAGGGCCTCTTTCTGGCAATGCAGCGTTGCCCGCATCGGGAAGGGTTGGGTTCGCTGGGTCACTGGCCAAAGTACCCGTTAGTGGAGTCCCCGTTTGAGGGGCGCTGAGTCGAGGATTGTGCTGTGGGCAGACCAAACATCCATGGACGTCCTTGGGTCTCAGGGCTGGGTTTCTTGTGGTCGAGCCCCTACTCTCATCAAAAGCGATCCCTCCCTGGTGATCGTTTTCTTTTCCATTGTCTTGCCGATCGGCGCGGGCCCTCGCACCCCCCCTCCCCCCCCCCCATGGAGTAGATCTTGGCTGTTCTTGGCGCCTGTTGCTGGCAGGCGGAGCCCCTCCCCCACAGGACACGCTGGTGCAAAAACGGTCGCAGTAGACAGAGGTCCAAAGCCAGACCCCCCCCCCCCCCCCTGCCTCCCCCCTTCCGCCCAATGCCGAAACGCCGAAGAAGTCGGAGTGTGATAGTCCTCCTACCCTGACAGCCGATCAGTGAGCTGTCCGCTTTCGGTTCGCAAGAGGGCGTCACGGCCGTTCTTTGTGCGGGTCCAGGTCCGTCGGTTTCGGTCTTAGGCCGCTTTCACGAAAGGGTGGTTTACTTAAGCGAGGTTTGTCCACCGCCGTGAAGGTAGGAGCAACAATCAGCACAAACATTTTTTCTTGGCGGCCAGCGCGGACCTTCGAGAAACCATATATGTCTATGCAAGTCTTCGTTCCTCGTCAGTTTCGTAGGGCGCCGAGAAGATCTGTGACGAGGTGCCAAGCAAGAAAACCTTCGCCTGGCCTCAGGAGGCGGAGCCGCTGCGGAAGCGGCTGCGGCTGACGGCGCCGCGGGGCCTCGGTCGCGGGCCGCCGCCCCGCGCCGCCGCTCGGCCGGCTGTGCTCTGCCGGCTCTCCTCTCTGCTCTGCGGGCAGGGCGCGGGGGCGACGAGGCCGCCTCGCGTGTCCGCGACGCTTTCGGAGGCTGCCAGGGGCTTCCAGAGAAGGCAGGGGGAGGGGGAGGAGGAGGAGGAGGGGGAGGGGGAGGGGGAGGAGGAGGAGGAGGAGGAGGAGGAGGAGGAGGAGGAGGAGGAGGAGGAGGAGGAGGAGGAGGAGGAGGAGGAGGGGGAGGAGGAGGAGGATGGAGAGAGCGTTTCGCCCAGCTCGGCTCGACAATGGGTGGGCCCAGGAGGCGTTCTCGGCAGGAGAAGGACCCCGCGGGCTGCGCAGGTGGGTGGCTCGCTGCATACCACTGAAAGGCGGCCCGTCTTGTGCCCATGGGGGTTGGCCAGGCCCACGACCGGCGGACGACGGACGGGGGAGAAGGAAGGGGACGACGGACGAGAAGGGCGCCCCAGAGCTGGGCTGAAGTTGGGGTTGGAGCTGTGGCGAAGCTGGAGCTGGAGCTGGAGTTGGGCTGGTTCTGGAGCTGGCCCCACATTCTCAAGGGCACGAACCGCTCGACAGTTGGCTCCGAACGAACGCTCCAGATCAGTTCCGGGATTGGCGATGATTTATACACACGTGTGTTTGGATGTACAAGCACATGTACATATGCATACATGCATACATGCAAACAAACATACATATATGCATACATACATACATTCATACGTACATACATACATCCAAACATACATGGCGTGCACGAAGACATGGAACCGCTGCGCAAGGGGCTCCTGCTGATGGTTGCCAGGAGCGGAATTCCAAAACGAAGAGTGCGGCCCCATGTCTAGGCCTCCCAAGTTGGGTCGAGGAAGAAGGATCGGAGTGTCGCGCTGCATCGCCGATGCATCGGCGATGCGGGCCGACGTGGATACCGAGTTTCTTCACGCCGACGTTTCCGATGTATCGCCGACGTGCCGCTGCATCTCAAGTTTGTCGCCGATGCGGCGCTAGCTTTTGACCCCATCTATTCGGACCCCAGTTGGGATGCCAGTATTGTCATGATTGTGCCAGGTTGATCGACATCAGGCCCGGGAACGAAGTTTTGGCAAGACGGAGACGTTCCTTCCTGGAATGGTTTTCACACGGATGATCAAGATCAGCTTTGGCAGCGGAGTTCTTGTGTTTCGAGGATGTTGTGACCGATGTTTTTTTCACGACGCGAGGAGGTCTGCCGAGGACGAGGACCAGGATGAGATTGATCGCTGTGTGGTCGCCGCGACGATCGCGGCGGCCAGACATCGGGGCAGGGTTTTTGTGAAGGACTCGCCCTTTCTAGCCCCCCCTCCCCGCGCGCTGCGATGCAGGCGTCGCTCAGGAGTAGCAGCATAACCCGAGAGAAATGGCAGTTCATGTCAAGCATGGGCAGTCATGTTCTTTTGTTGGTTAGGGGTCGATCCTCGCACAACCAGTTGAGGATGGGGAAAAGAAGCGGAAGGGGGGAGGAGGGGAAGAGGGTGAGGGGGAGGAGGAGGAGGAGGAAGAGGACGAGGAGGAGGAGGAGGCAGGGAAGGAGGATGAGGGGGAGGAGGAGGAGGAGGAGGGAGGAGGAGGAGGATGATGAGGAGGAGGAGGAGGAAGAGGAGGAGGAGGAGTAGGAAAGGGAGGAGGAGGGGGATGATGATGATGATGATGATGATGATGATGATGATGATGATGATGATGAGGATGAGGATGAGGATGAGGATGAGGAT